GCGGGTTCAAGACCCACCTGGGCAACTTGGCGAGACCTCAACTCTACAATAAATCAAAAACTAGCCGGGCGTGGTAGTGCACGCCTGTAGTTCCACTACTTGGAAGGCTGAGGCAGAAGGATCACCAGAGCCCAGCAGATGGAGGCTGCGGTGGCCGGGCGCAGCCACTGTACTCCAGTCTGGGCGACAGAGTGAGACTCTAACTCAAAAAAAAAAAAAAAAAAAAGAACTTTCAGCTATCTTTTAAGTATAGAAAAATTTCTTCTTTACCAATCCTCCAAACTCCCACATAAAAGGATGAAAAAAGTACCACCCATACCGCAGATGAAGAAATAAAGGTAGCAAAAAAAGACTAAATGACTAATAAGATAGGTTATGCCATTACCAAACTGGGAACAAAGCCTAACCTGCTTCTCTACAAATGTGTAATAATAACAATAAATATCGATGAAGTGATTAAATACAAAAGCTGGTCTTATCTTCAAAATAAGTTATGATGGAAAGGTGAAGCACCTGATCAAATACACTTAAGATAAAACTTTAGAATCTTTATTCTAAAAATTTTAATTCCACGGTGCAACTTTTAATAGCTACACTAATTTACATAGGACACACTACCATTTACATGTAACATTAAAGTTTTTAGTTGAGAAACTGGTCACCAGTGAGGTGAGAAGCACCAGGGAAAAAAGTCAACCTACTGAGGAAGATAACAGAGTAACAGACATTAAGAGGCTGGGCCTTTTATAATGCAGCTTTGTCACTATATTGATTCTGGAACCATCTACCTCCAGACTTTCTGTTGTGAGAGATAATATCTATTTTTAAATGTTGTTTAACAAAAGAAAATAAACCGGTCATAGAGTTTTACTAAGATTAATACAAAAAAAATTTTTTTGGAACAAAAATAGCTAATAACTTGGGTTTTCTGAAGAGACTTGTATGAATATGAAGCTTCGAAGACACACAAAGCTGAAATATCTGGAACCATTTGGCTGCCTGTAGTCTTCAACAAGATCACAAAGTACTCACAAATTCTTTGACCTTAGGGGAGGGGGAAAAAAAAAACAACAATATAATTTCTTGACTAGCTTGAGGTATCTAATATTCATCTTCATTTAAAAGATGTGACAGTTGAAGAGCCCAACTGTCTAAGTAACTCTACCAAAATGCCATAGCCCTTGCTTCCCAAAGAAATACTGTTAAATACTCCAATATTAAAAAAATGAGTGATCTATAAGGTCATTCAGAAGTTATTTAATTTACATCTAAGACTGATACAGTGCTAAAACAGCCACAACACTAGTTTTATGATCTCTTTACTTAAATATCATAGATCACTGACATGTACAGTTTTAACACTGACAACATTGATAATTACAATAGATTAAATAACTTTGAAGGTAAAACATGTAGTAGGTTTGTAATGTTTCTGAAGCACATGTGTGAACCATAAACCCTGCAATGTTAGCGAGTAAATGAACCTAGCCAACTACCAACACCATGACGCAAGAATATACTTGCTCTCCTCATGTTCTAGATTACTCATCATTCTTGCAAAGAGTCAAAGATCATGGCCTTGTAAAAACACCTAAAAAAGAAAGTCAACTGCTAGCATTGTTAATAAAAACAAAAATAAATAATAATATAAAAGGATTCTTAGCTAAAACAAAGAAGTGCCAGATAAAATTTTAAAAGTGGTTTTACAAAGTCAATTAAATTGATAGTTGGCTGTATTATAGAATACTATATAGTATTATATACACACACACATATTATATACTACATACTATACACTGTACAGCATATACTATACTGTAGTGCTGGCTTAACTTTATTTAATAGTATCATAAGTGAATTCTAACCTATATTTTTAACATCATTTGTAGTACAGAGGCCACTTGAATTTTCTAGATAGGCTTTAATTCAAATTATGTGAAAAACAACTACAGGTATATGCAACAGTAGTTAAGTAAAATGTTGAGGTTTTCAAAATTCTTGAGCTATATCCCTTACAAATGTCAAGTCCCTATTAAACAGCAGACACTTTGTGACAGGAGAAAGGAAAAATCAAATTTCTCTTAAAACTAAACAAACAAACAAAAAAATGTGGTTTCTACTTTAGGCATTAGATCATCAAGTTATTAGCATACGTGCAGAGGATACTTGTTATACAATTCCCTTCCTATTCTCTCTCAAGTGTTCATTGATAAATTCTCCCCTAGTCCCTTTATCAATATAGGTAACACTCACTTAGTAAAATATGGTCAACTCCCAATTATCTGGGTGATAAATTAACTGATTAAGACAATGACTCAATGATTAGGCAATGTCAATTCATCCTTGACTTGACTCAAAGCCAAATTCCTTAATCTTAGGACTTTAGCTAATGTAAACATGGATGCAATCCGTATCCTGCAACTTTAAATATCCTCCTTATTGAATAGAGTTGAGAAGAAAACTTAATTTTGCAAGCAGTTTATTATTAAAATATCTAAAGATTGGTGGTGTAGAGAAGAAACAATAAGGGGACAAAACAGAGAAGAAGGGGCTAAGAAAGAGCATTTGTTACTGTAATTATCCCGGTCTTACAGATAAAGGAACTAAAGGATAAAAAAAGATCCTTATTTTAGCTCAGACCATAGAGCTAGAATTTAGTCATGATTAGATTCTAAACAATCTAAAGTCCCCTAAAGCCCTTCACTGTTTCTTAATATAATTTTACATAATCTTTTCTGTTAAAAAGTTGCTTTCTCACAAGTTAGTACACTTTTTTACACAAAAAAAAATTAGTCTGTCGTCTTTGTCTATTTATCTAAATCTACCTTTTCAACCAGATTTTCATGTTTGTCTTTAAAGTCTTCATTAACATCCAATGTTAAGATAGGTACCTCCTGTAGATAATCAAAGTTGGTTCTGTTTAAAAAGAGATGAACAAAATAATCAGAAAAGCAATAAATAAAAAAGCAACATTAAAAATTCATTCTTTTATCATTGGAAAATCAAAATATTATCAATCATTTCACACTAAAGTTAGACAATGTTAATTCATCCTTGATGTGATTCCAATGAAATTCAAAATCAAAGTCCTTAATCTTAGGACTTTAGCTAATGTAATCATTGATGAGAACCTTACCCTACAGCTTTAAATATCCACCTTACTGAATTGAGTTGAGAAGATACACTTAATTTCACAAGCAAGTACGTCATCTGGCAGCCCCTTCTTTCTCATCTAGATGTAGTGTATGTAGCTAAAAAGCTCAGGTACAAAATAAAGCTAGGTATTGTGATATGCGATTCTCCACAAAAAAAAAAAAAAAAAATTAAGTAGGCATTTTTGCATTTTAAAGATGAGAAAACCAAAGCTCAGAGATGTCATTCTGAGGCTCAGAGGCTGCCCAAGGTCATACGCTCCCAGGTGAGACTGGACTTGAACCAAGATTTGACTAATGACAATGTCTACACTCTCAACAACTATGCTGTACTATATCCCAAGTCATGATAAAGAAACAAATATGAATATATTATCTTAAAATCCTTTCTGAAAGAGAGTACCTAAACAATGCACTGATATATTTACTACTTAAAGTGAAATTTCATAAGTCATGTTGTCAATACTACTAGGGTATACTAGCTATAAACACTTTAAGGAAACAGGATCTCATTGCAATCAAGAGAATCAAAATCCACACCTAATGGGAGATACCAATAAATAAAATGACTACAAACAAAGAATTTTACATGTTGCTACTCATATCTTCTAAATTTTAGATGAAAATTCAATAAAAGTATTTAAAATAAATAGTAAATAAGAATAAAGAAATCTTACTTCAGCGTTCTATGTAGAAGCCAGCTTTCATGTTTATAATGAAGCTTCTCTAAATATTCAAGAGGAATGTCTTGTTCTTCTATTCTTCCTCGTAAATGTATTCTATTTAAGCATTTCTAAAAGCGAGCAATAAGAGGGAAAAAAAGGAAGAGAACAATTATTCTTGACTGCTGCCATCAAAATTTTCTTTCCAAGTGTCTCTCACTAGTTCTACTAGCCAAACATTACTTCTTGAAAGTTGAAATAATTCATTTCCCATCCATGTGCTTTTCAGTCATTTGGTGGCTCTAAACCAGGTAGTACTTTCAAAAATAAGTCTATCATTTGTTGGTGTCCACACATGAAATATACGAATATGCTTGATTAAAAAATTCATTGAGCATCTACTTAAAATTTTTAGAGTTGACAGGTACAACGTATACCAATCTATCAATGTAATCCTGCTTTGTTGTTAACCACAACAAATGTCTAAGGTCAGTTCATGTAAATCCACTAAAGGCAGTGGTTCTTAATGTGATGAAAGCGCTGGACCAACACAACCAAGACAGCTTTGGAATGCCTTATACCTATCACACATCTGGATTTTTGCTGCTGTTGTTTTTGAGATACTGTCTCATTCTGTCACCGAGGATGTAGTGCTGTGGTGCAGCCTCAAACCTCCTAGGCTCCAGTGATCCTCCTGTTTCAGTTTCCCAAATAACTGGGACCACAGTCACATTCCACTATGTCTTGCTAATTTTTTTTAGAGATGAGCTCTCACTATGTTTCCTAGGCTGTTCTTGAACTCTGACCTCAATAGTACAGATATAGGTGTGAGCCACTGCACCCAACCTATATCTGTACTATTGAATAAGATAACCACTAGCTACCTATGACTTTTGAGCACTTGATATTTGGCTAGTGTATTAATCAAAGAATTAAATTCCTGAATTTTATTTAATTTTAATAAACTTAAATGTAAATAGTCACATTAGACAGTGCAGCTCTAGATATTTTTCCCCGGAAAAAATATACATACAAAAGTGTGTATAATTTGTGGGTTAAAGAAGCCCTCAGAAACTCATCCATGTATTCCAAAAAATAAGAATCTCCAACCTACATGACATGCATTAAGACTACAGCAGCAACTGGGCTCGGTGGCTCAGCCTGTAATCCCGCGCCTCTGGGAGGCTGAGGTGAGTGGATTGCCTGAGCCCGCGGGTTCGAGACCCGCCTGGGCAGGCGAGACCTCATCTCTACAATAAATCAAAAAATTAGCCAGGCGTGGTAGCGCGCGCCTGTAATTCCGGCTACTCAGAAGGCTGAGGCGGAAGGATCGCCGGAGCCCAGCAGGTCGAGGCTGCACTCCACTGCACTCCAGTCTGGGCAATAGAGTGAGACTCCAACTCAAAAAAAAAAAAAGACTACAGCAGCATACAAACTGTGCTTCAAAATCTATTACACATTATATTCAATTAAACAGTCACTGAATCAAAAAATATAAGAAAAAATAATAAAAATTTTATGCTAGACTTTAAGATATTAACTATGAACGTTTTCAGCAAAATGAAATTATTAGTAGTCTTTACTTTTTAAAATTTATATTTACTATCTTTATAATTAAAAACAAAAAACCTTTTCAAAAATAAAAGTGATTTCAAAATTATTAGAATTGCTAAATTCTGGCATACTTAATATTAGAAGATGAACACAATCATCTGTTAAATCAGAAATCTAGTTTCTTTGAAAATTCAACTTCAGTTGCAACACAGTATTCTAACTAATTTAAAGCTAGAAGTTATGACACATTCATCAGAGTCCACCTTGTGACATAAGGAAGACACAGGAATAAAAACCAGAAACAACAGGAATACAAGCACCAAAATCAAAAGGCTTCTGATTAAATGTGAGATCTTAATATTTAGGTTAGATTTATGAAAGGCATCTACTTGATCTCCCTGGATTCAGTTCACAATACCATATGTAAATAGTATAGCTAGGGTGCAATCTATCACAAAAAGCACATTTTCAAGTGATCACCCTGAAGTGAAAATGGCAAGTTTCCTCTAAGTGTCTTCCCAACTGTGGCTGCCACTATGCACTCATTCCAAACCACAAACAACGATAAAAGATTTCTTGAAATTCATCTCCATCAACATTGCCATTCATTCAGTAAATATTTACCAAGCTCCTACTGTGTACCCAAGCACGGTTTTAGGCACTAGATATTAAAATACCCAAAGTCCCCTCATGAAGCCTATATTCCAGGAGTTGCTGGAACAAGTTCCTTACTCTAGATGTGATGGATGAGAGAACCTGCAAAAGTTGGGAAGAAATAAGAAAAGTAAAATAGAACTAAGGAAGAACAAAGAAGAGCCTGAAAGAGGGACTTGCCAAGTCTGAGCTTCCAGTCTGCTGAGAAAATAGAATGTTTCTATCCATACAGTTACGAGTTTCAAATTTGGAGGTGAGGAGTGGCAGGGTGGGGGATTGGAATTAAACTACACTGCCTTCATTACATACCACTGAAAAGATTTCTAAGTATTATTTTAAATTTCCAGTGGCACAAACAAATTTTCACTGGGTCTCACCTCTGGAGTGGCTCGAAGATAAATGATTCCATCCAATTCAAGGCTTTGGCCAAACTGGTTATTCATCCAGTCATGCCAGTCTTGATAAATTGTCCACTCTGTTTCATTCATGCAGTCAGATTCATACAAATTAGATGCGAAAATATACCTGAAAAAGAGAGTTCGCCAACACATAAATTATTTCAAAAAAAAAACACAAACAAACTACAAAGAAATAAAAAAGGGAAAATAATCCTACTGAATGAACACAGAACATGTTCTTAAATATAGGGGCAGATAGTGCCTTGGGCAACAGGAAAAGACAAGATTCTCTCTGTCTATAGGAAATGTGTTCTTGGCCAATGGTTCTCAATATGTGGTGTGAGGACTCCTGGAAGTCCCCGAAATCCCCCAAGAGGTTTTGTGAGAGGCCCAATTACTTCATATACTACTATCCTTGAAATAAAAGAACATATCATAACAGATTGAATATAGAAGCAAAAACAAAAATCCAGTTGTCTTCTATGAAGACATTAAGAGATTCACAAAAATGTAAAGCAATGCTACTCTCCTCACTAATCTGTTTTTAAAAAAATTGTTTTTGTCAAATGTATATTATTTATGTTACTATGTAATACGTTTATTGCTGCAAATTTTATATAAATACATTTTTATATTTCTTCATCTTAACATCTAATAACATAAATATCAATAAGAAACAGCTCTTTGGAAACCTTAATAGTTATTAAGGAAAAAAAAAGAGTCCTAAGACCAAAAGTTTGAGAGCCTCTATTCTGAGCTAACTTTTGAAATCAAAAGAATTCTAACATAAGCAGGGCAATTCTAAGGCCTCCTTAGAGATTGCTTTCTCCTTTCTCCAGATAAGATATAGATCCATATTTAACCAGGGCAGATAAGAATTTCAAAAGTGTTGGGGGGGCACTCTTTCTATTTGAATGAGATGGCCACCATATTCCTTACAGTTTCCATGGAAGCTAGGGATTACAAATGCTAGCACTACCTTATTGCCATTATTATCAGATTGTTGAGAAATTTATATGTCCATTTTCGATCTCAGATCCTCAGAGAGATTTCCACCTCTCCTATTACTTTGATTCCCAGGAAACAGAAAGAAAAAAAAGTTCAGTTTTAAGCCAAAACTCCAAACAGTTGAGTATGAGTCATGTCTACATACCTGTCACTATACACAGATCGTTCAAAAAATAATACAGGTTTCTCTGCATCTTTGAGTTTGCTATTGAGAAAGGTGAGCTGAGCTCGTATTCGACTCAGACAGGCATATGTCTGGAAGGTGAAAGACCATCTTTCAGGTTTCTCATACATCATCTGAAGAACATTCCCTCCATTTTTCTGAGATGTTGTTAGTTCCTATTTTGAATGAGTAAAAAGAAACAAAAAGCAAAGTTAATGATCAATAGGGCTATTCTAATTTTTTTAAGGTCTCAATAAGAGAAGTTGAATAAATAAATGCATCAATATTAGCAAAACCCCTTCCCTGTACTCTTTCCCACCATTTTTTTCAGATTGCTTAAGTTCTAGAAGAGTACTTAGATCTTTCTCACAAGAGGTCACAAACTAACAATCTATGGAAGAAATTATTTGTTTGACCCATACACAACTTTTTTTTTTTTTTTTGAGTCAGGGCTTCACTTTGTAACCCAAGCTGGAGAACAGTGGCACAGTCACAGCTTACTGCAGCCTCAACCTCCTGGGCTCAGGCAATCCTTCCATTTCAACCTCCTGAATAGCTGGGACAACAGCCACGCACCCCTACGCCCGGCAAACTTAAAAAAATTTTTTTTTGTAGTGATGAGGAGGTCTCGCTATGTTGTCTAGGCTGGAACTCCTGAGTTCAAGTGATCCTCCTACCTAGGCTTCCCAAATCCTGTGATTACAGACGTGAGTTGCTGAGCTCTGCCAAAAGAGGACTTTTTAAAATAATTTTTGAATTAGTTGCCAATATTTGAAGGCTAAATAATTTCACATAAAATATTTGAATTTATATCTTCTTTTTTTAAAATGGAAAAATCAAGCAATACTGTATTCCCTCTTGGCAAAAACCAGCTAGAGGCAAGTCACACATGCCTCCATTAGCTGGGATAGGTGCTGTCCAGCTTCTCAGTCCCACCATTCCTTGATGATTCTCAAAAAAGGCCTGATGTATTCATTTGGCTACTTGGCCCCTTTAGTTGAATTTGTAACCCTAATCTAATATAACACAATAGATCCTCCCCAAAATTTTGCAATTCAATAATCTTATTGTTAGAACCAATATTTTCAGTATTGAGAAAAAAAATACAAGTGTAAAATAAAAAATAAAAAACTGCAATCTTACATCTGAATTGGAAATGGTATCTAGGACACATGAATTATTTTCTTTTTCTATAAAATATACTTTTCCACCAAAGGCCTATAAACAATGCTAGCCCTATAGAAATACACATAAGTACTACCCAGATTATGATCTCTAAATACCACTTTTCGCTGAAAGGAATTAGGATTCTCTACCTGATTCTAAATCTGGGGAAGGAAACATATAAAGCGAGTTTCATATATGTTGTTCCAGAAAATAAGGAAACTCTCAAAGACTACTGGGATCATGTCAGGGCAAAAGAGTCAAATCATGGGGCTCCCACTGGTTAAAGGCAGGACAATTTGAACAACCAAAAAAAAAAAAATGTAAGGCATACATCCTCAAGTTCTCAATACTAAAAAAAAACTCTACTCATCTTTTGAGACTGCTAAGGCACCAATTAATTATTCTGGAAATGTGTAGGTAAAAGGAAAAAAAGAAAATCAAGAGTTTCATTCTGGCCTTTTCTGTAGAAATGCTTTCAGGGTAATGAAGGTGCAGATGAGGAAAAGTTCTTCTTTCCTAACGAATCCCAGCTGATAATTTCAGAAGACTTGAGAAAGAATATCACCTTTTACAACATTTACTAACATACTGCATTGAAGCAACAATTAGCAACAGATGCTAAAAAAGTTAACAGAATTTTATAAAGGATGATTAGGCTCACAACACCTGAACTAACTGACGAATTTTAACATCACAAAAGACATCCTATTGATGTAAAGAAATATATATCAGCAAAGAGGAATTGTGCCCAAAAAATAATTAAAGTAAACCTAATCAATCCTCTAGCCCTACCTACAAATTTACAGAAGATACAGAGAAATGAGAAGCATGCTAAATTTCATCACAGAAATAGTCAAAACCAGAATAAAGGAAATTATATAGAACAAATGGACCAGTTTCTTCAACAAATAAATTGCAAAAAAAATAAAATAAGAGGCAATCAGCAGATTAAAATTTAAAAGATTTATCAAAGCCAGGGGCAGTGGCTCATATCTGTAATCCCAGTGCTTTGGGAGATAGAGCTGGGAGGATGGCTTGAGATCAGAAATTTGAGACATGCTTGGGTAACAAGCAAGATCTCATCTCTACAATTTTTAAAATTAACTGGGTATAGGGCGTGCAACCAGCATTTTGAGCTTAAAGAGGGCTATGACAGCACTACTATATTCCAGCCTGGGTGACAAAGTGCGATGGTGTCTCAAGGAAAAAAAAAAGACATATCAATGTGTGCACCTCATCTGGTTCCCAATTTCAACAAATTATTTACAAATTATGAAGTAAAGGGGAAATATGAACAAAAACTAAATATAAAAACACAAAAGAATTACTAATATTTTAGATTTTTTTAAAAAAAGAACCTTTATACTTCTGGAGTTCTTTTTGAGTATTTTCTACAGATGAAATAATATAACCTCTAAGACAGATTCTTCAAAGTGTGGTAGGAAAACTTCTAGGGATCCTTGAAATCTTTTAGGCTGCATAGGAAATCTGTCTCACGATGATGTAAATATACTTAACACTACTGGGCAGTACACTTTTAAATGGTTCAGACAGTAAAGTGCGTGTTTTTTGTTTTGTTTTGTTTGAGTTGGGGTCTCACTCTGTTGCCCAGACTGGAGTGCAGTGGCCGCTCCCGGCCACCGCAGCCTCCACCTGCTGGGCTCCGGCGATCCTTCCACCTCAGCCTTCCAAGTAGCCGGAATTACAGGCATGCGCTACCACACCCGGCTGACTTTTTGATTTATTGCAGATATAAGGTCTCCCTGCCCAGGCAGGTCTCGAATCCGCGGGCTCAGGCAATCCACTCACCTCAGCCTCCCAAAGGCGCGGGATTACAGGCTGAGCCACCGAGCCCGGCTTAGTGTGTGCTTTTTATAACAATAAAAAAAGTAATCACCAAAAAAACCCATACATCTCTTTGTATTTGAAATTCCCAAAACATATCATCTCTTATGCAAAACAATCCAAAGTTTACTGTATTAAAATAACCTAGAAAACCAATCCTGATTCATCACATGATTATAAAAAAATTATTTATAAAAACACAAATGTGCAAACTAAAACTGAATTTTTAAAACTGTAATAAAAGTTTCAGCATTGAAAATTCAGTTAGTATTTTTTTAAAGTTTGAAAACAGAGGTGATAAGCGAGAAGAGAAGGAAAAAGGAAGATTCATGCCAGGAAGACCTGTCATGGGCAAGTTTCTCCAAAGCAAACAAAAAAAACCGCTGAAGATATTAGTTTTTAATCTCTTAGTTTAATAATGTATCAAATTAGAAAATTAACAGTAAGCCAGGATAATATTTTCTGGTTCTTCGGGATAACCTAAGAGTTCACATAAAATATTTTCTTTTAATCTTATGCATGAAATTTAAGACAAATTGTTGAGGTTTCTGTATGCAGTTATAAATATTAAGAAAGAAATACATATCAAAAATTGATCCAAAGTTTCCCAGGCTGGTCTCGAACCCTCGGGCTCAGGCAATCCACTCACTTGCCTTGGCCTCCCAAAGTGCTGGGATTACAGGCTGAGCCCCGAGTCCGGCCTGAATATATTTTAATAATAACAATTCTAAAGAACTCGGCCAGGCACAGGGGTGCACGCCTATAAACCCATAACTTTGGGAGATCAAGGCATGGACAACACAGTGAGACCTGGTCTCCACAAAAAGAAATTACTATAATCTGTTATATAAGCACATAGTTGTCACTCTCAACGACCTACCTGGACTCCCTGGGCTGTGGGGTGGGGGCAGGGAGGGTGGGGCAGCCCTGACCCAGGACCTTACTGGGCCTGGGATGGGTCTGGGGGTGGGGCGAATGGGGTGGGCATGGGAAGGGTGGGGCACGGGGGCCAAAAAATAAAGAAGGAAAAAAAACTGATCCAAAATATAACACACATCATTTTGACAAAATTGAATGTTAATTATATCAAGTTTTCCCCTCTGAAAAATAGCCATATAAAAAATGTGAATGCCTAAGAGTTAAACTACAAGAAGTAAAAATTGGTAGGACATTTCTAGAAAGCAGTTTAGCTACATTTATTTTTTTAAAAGCCTGTACTTTTTGGACCAATAAATTCCACTTTTGAAAATTTATTCTAAATAAACTAGAGCAAGTAAGTTATAATTCCACTATTGCTAGGCATTTACATTCAGCAAATAACAGTATACATATACAATAAATTAGGCTGCCTTTAAAAATCATTTATGGTACATTTTTAATGATAATTTTAATTGCCTTTACATAGGTAACAGGGCAGGGAAGCAAAGGACAAAATTATATACTTTTTTGTTAAGCAAGGGCTGCAGTTACTTCTGGGTAATAAGGTTATAGAAATGTTTTATTCCCCTTTTTTGATAAGCTCTGATATTTTATTAACTTGCAATAGTTAACAGGTTATTACTTCATAATATTAAAAAATTATGTATTCACCCACCAAACTGGATACAATAAATTAATTATCTCAACCATACAAAAGATACATAGAGTGGTGGGATTATGAACAATTTCCATTTTGCTCTCTATTATTCATATCCATAGTCACTTCATGAGAGAATACTACACTGTCTTATAGAAGTATAGATTATTGCCAAGATAAGTGAAAAATAAAAATATCAAGAAATAAAATCACTTACCTTTTAATTCTAGGTCTAACCTTTGTAAACATTGCAAAAGAGTCCAATTAAGTTCAATCAAAAAAGATCAGAGTCTACCAAACAGCATAATTATAACAGCCAGCAAAAGTTACCAGGTAATTTCAGAAGGTACAAGTGGAAGTATTTTATCAAGCATGCCTAAGTAATTTTCAAGAATGACTTATTAAAAGCAAAAAATATGCTAGTATTTCACAGACAAGTATATTTTTCAGTTACTATCTTTTCAATGGCTTCTTAGTGGTAAGAAGTATTGGATAAAAGTAAAATAGTCTCATGCCTGTAATCCCAGCACTTCGGGAGGCGGAGGAGAGAAGATTGCCTTAGTCCAGGGGTTCGACACCAGCCTGAGC